CTATTCGTTGGCTGTTACTTGTCAGAGTTGCAGTTCAAAATATAAAGATGAAGTATCAGACTTGAACGGTAAAGATTTTAACTTACTAGTCATTGTTAATGGAACCAGACCTCCCTAATTTGTCTTTGAAGAATAAATTTTGTAGAGTGATTTCAACTTTGTGTTGTGATATATCCAGCCCCAATTGTTAGACACAACTTGGAAGCTAATGGGGGAGGGGAGTCACCTTTTCAATATCAGTCAAAAGCTATCAATCTACCAGAGAGACTGCCTCAAGGGGAGGGTATAAACAGCCCTTAGAAAAACCCCTACTCTATCTCAAATTAAATGATTTTCTCCTCCTTCTTTTAACATTGAAAAAAAAAAAAAAAAATTCAACACTATGTCTTGAACCAACATCAAAATATCTAAGGAAGTGTGGAATGCAAGTGAAATGAATTCCATGTAAAATATTTCCTTGAATTGGTTCCTGGCTATTTTAAGGACACCCATTAACCTTTTTTAAAGCAAGATGTAAGAAATCACTGGACCTCAGCACACACAAAAATTAAATAATGGAAAGAAATCAGAGAAATGAAATATATCCCACATGTAAAAAGAATGGGAAGAGGAAACAAGGAAACCTCAAAACGATTTTCACTTGTTGCAGCTAAGAAAAAACATAACTCTTGACACTTTTTCTCATTTTTTTTTCAACACTTTCATTCCCAGTTTTTATGATTTTTGCAGGACTTATCCCTTACACTCCCATATGTGACCAAGACAGAATTTCTCCTTACAATATCAATACAATATCAAGCAGACAAGTGATGAGAATAAAGAAAAATATTAATTAGCTTATTAATTGATTCAATACCAAATTCTCAAAACTAACATCACAAGAACTATATGGCAAACAGTAAGGAGAATTACTAATGAGATCTTGAGAGTGAAAATCTCATGAACAGAGACACCTATGCAGGGCAGGGCTTCTTCCAGTTTCCACTCAGTTCCACAGAAAACCTTATTTCAACCTGTTTGGAGAAATATCTCCATTTGTTTAGAAATGCCAGGTGATGCCAAAAATGTTCATTTTGTTGTGGACAAATTTTCTGAGCCTTCGCATACGCATATTTTCTTCTAAGAATCAACAACCCAACAATATAATGTCATGCAAAAGGAAAGAAAAATTCAGTGGATGTTTTAATAGAGGTTCATCTGAAATTTAAAGTACTATCAATCATAAGTTTGAAAAGAAGAAAAGTTAACTCTGAGTCCATAAAGCTACACATAATTAGAGCATAATGTCCATAAAATGATAAATAATGATGGGAAATTATCCCTAAAGTAACTTGTCAGAAAGTTAAAAATTATACCAAAATACACTTACAACTGAAAAGTATACTTGTGCAATGAGATCACTACTTTCCAGAATTTCCTTTGGAACAACGACTAGAAGCTGCAGATTTTTTTCCTCCCTAGTCATTGTCCTGACTAACAGTGGCCCGTTTGCACTTGAATTTAAAAGAACCATGCATTTCTTTGATTTTATAACTGATAGTGGCGCTTGTCACAACAGCCTCTTTAGCAGTAACATAATAGCCACAATTGTGGCTAAATTTTCTGCTGATAAGTTTTCTGATGATGAGTCAAACTCCAAAAACTGCTGCTCCAGTTGCTGGACAGCTTATTGGACTTCATTTCTTTCCTAAATAGTAAAGAGAACACTATCAGTGTTGCATAGTGGTGATTGATGAAGAAAAAGCATACAGTCAAACCTGTATTAAGCAGTCACCCATAGGGAATTGCAAGGACACTACTGAAACAGTTTCCACAGAATAGCAGTCAAATGCTGTAAAAAAATGCTATTTTATGCCATAATTGATCACTTCACTTAAAGTTTACTCAAAAGCTTGCTAAAAGATGCATTGACTCTTTGTTAATACCAATAAACAGAATCAACAAAATGGTGACATAGCATATAAACAGAACACTAAAGCAGAATTACTGTCTACTATTTTCTATCAGTTGGACCTCTAGGTCATATCTATGGGCTGATTGACTTGTGTAATGTTTGTGCTAATATTTGTCCCAATAGCTCTAAGAAGAGTTAGATAATTGGCAACATGTTGAGCACATTTAAACTTGAAGTACTATTCCTAGTTTTATTGGAGAGATTCTGCTTTAGTGACTGTTCAACAGGAAGCTGGGACTCAGTCAAGGATGACCATGACCACCTAAAGAGGTAAAAATTACAGTACAGTAATTAAGGGGAGAAAATCTGACAACTGACCCCTTTGTTACAGGGTGACTGTTTAATATGGTTTCACAATACAGTTTGTGCTTAACTATGTTTTCTTTTGTAGCACTAATTACTTTAATTAAGAGGAACATTTGAGAAAACATTAGAGGGAATGCATCTTCTTTAATGACCAGTACTTCCAGATGGCTTTAAAGTTAGGACAGACAGTATTTACCTGTCAGTCCCAGTCCACCATAAACAACCTTGCTTGATTTTGTATATACAAGTTTACACCTTTCTTCCAGTAAAATGTGTCATACTTAACAAAGAGCATGATACACATTAAATTAGACTGATTCAAGTAAGAAAGGTTCTGAGGTGAATTAGGCAGTACAACTTCTTAGAATGGACATTACTTCTTAAGTTAACTTGCTACCTAGTCAATGGTTGCATACACAGTCATATACCTGGATGCATTTTTGTTCCATCTCTTCAATGTGTTTTATTCTCTGTTCTTCATCCCAAACACTCTTAAGTACACCATCCCTCATAGCTTGTGGAACTACGGGTGGCTAAGACCAACCAGCTCACACTTGGTGATGTCATCAGCTCTTCCTTGTGTCAGAAGAAATTGATACAGCTTGTAGTGTTAAAATAATGCCATGAAAACAAAATCTTTCATAGACTTGAGGTTTTTTTCCACAGGAGTGATGGGCAATTCTGTTTAGCTGTTGTTTAAACAATGTTATAGCCTCCTTGAGGGGTTTGCCTAATCAAAACAAAATAGTTATTGGTGAAGTTTACACCCAAGGCAGTGGAGACAGCATTGATTACAACATTACAATTGTCTCTTTTGTTTTTCATCCTCTGGAAAATATATTTCCTCTATTTTAATTGTATTAAATTCAACTTTTTGATTTTGATTTTGTGCTTAACACTTGGTTGGTGAACATCATTCTAAAGATAGAACAGACATATTCAAGTTTGGAAACTTTTTTCCTTTTGGAATATTGAAATGTTATTTTATTCTTCCAGCCCTCATCCTATTATTTCCTTTTATATTGAACCTCCCTACCCACTTTACAGTACCATTAATATATAACTGGCATGAATTGAAGAATCCCTTGTAAATGACCATACTGACTGGGTACATAAACGAAACAAAAGCAATAAATGCTGTAGTATGCTAAATGTGTTGAGTTGACTCTCCAGTCTCATGCATTGGGTGTGAGACTCACGCAAACAAATTCATTCTTACACTCTCATGCTAAAGCCATTGTTTCTCTCTCCTTAAAGGTTTTGCATTTATTCTGTTGATTTTGAGATAGCAAACTGCTGCTTTCATTAAGAACCTATAAAATTATCCTTCCAAATATAATTTACTCCTTGTTCCCTATGCACTCATTTTGCACACTTCTTAACAGCAAAAATTCTCTCTCAGATTAAAGAAATGCACAACTTAGCTATTTTATTTTTTTAACAATTTTCCAGGGGAACATGCCCCCATACCCTCTTCCCTTTTCCACCCTTGATAGGTGATGCTCATGAAATCTTACTCTTTGCCAGCAAATGGACTTGAGAGCTCTAGTTGACTTAAACTGCATTGCTACACAAGTCATAAGATTTCACTCTCTAGAAAAGTATACAGGATGGTTTATAACTAATCAGTAACTTAAGCATTAAGTCTTGGAATAAAAAGGCAGGTTTTTGTCCAATATTGCTCCAAACAAAACGCATAGATGACTCAACAAAGACTTAATTTAGGTCTGCAGAAAAATTTAAAACATGGACCACCTTCAAGTCCAAATCTATCGATCAAATCTCCAAATTTGCAAACTCAGATCTTACACAAGCAAAATAGTAAGCGTTTGAAGAAGATCTCATGTCATACAAGAACTTTGCATTCTGTCTTCAACATTCAACTACATAATTTTTTCAGCTATAAGATTTTGGTGACATATTTTTTGCATAGGATCAAATCGTTCGTTCTGAATACGACAAGTTCTAAATTTTGTAGGTTATATTTTGTACATGTCAATGGCACAAGACAGTGAATGAGTTTAGACAGTGTGGGATAATTGTACAGAAAGTCAATCACGATCACAAAGAGAAAGGCTGATATGTGGCTAAGGTAACAGTGTTTAATATCGTAACCAGACCTGTATCCATTGTAAGATAGCACATAACACCAGCAGCCACAACGCTCATCGATCGACGAATTGAAAGCTAACCTTATACTTCCAAAGCAGAGTCACTTCTCGCCATGGAATCCTTTGTGTACAAAATAAGCCAACATGTCATAACGAATATCAAGAAGTATCCCGGGCCTGAAATCATCTTCTTCGTTAAGTTTTGAAATTAGTAGGTCCTTACCTAACAATTTATTTCTTTCTTTTACGTCGGTAGCATAAAAGACATTTTGAAAATCTCTCTGTCTAGCGCCCGATTCGGTAGCCATGTTCACACTCATCATTTGACATGTGTCACGCACGAATCAAAGTCTCCGACAACGAGGAGCTAGTTGCGTGCCAAGAGCAAGAACTGAATTTGCTTTGGTGGATTTCTTTTTAAAAACGTAAATAAAACATACCTTTTTTGTTTGTTTGTCAGATGAAAAACGAACACGTGTCGGTTGGCTTTCTATCCCAGCGCTCGAAATAAACAATTAGATATTCTTGATTCTCATTACGTTTTTAAAGTTCGCAGTCAGTCTTGCTTAGAGTCGAGTTCGACGGTGCACCAAGATTCTATATTCATGACCTCTTTTTTCTTTTCTTAGTCTCCGACTACTTTGTTGCTGTCGGTGAGCATTTCTTTCAAGTCTGAGAACTTTATGCACCAGAAATCGTTTCCATGGAAATGACGCTCAGTGGCGGAATCTCCCAAAGAGGCCTGGTGTCAAAGCAGAAGGCCTGGAAGATTTCTTCTAACAAATAGGAGGAATGTGGCATTCCATTTCATGCCTTTTTGTCACTGAACTTCTTCGGTTACCTTTTGCTTGCTATAGCTTTCAGTTATTTGCAGGAGATTATTTCTCTATTATTATTATTTTGCAAAGGATGTATGCGATTTATAAACAAACACACCCCCCGACAGGAATCGAACACTGCGAGTACTGTCAATTATTTTTCACCAGCTGAAAAACAATCGTGTTGTGGCAGGAACATCACAGCTTCGTATCAGCGAGTTTTATACCCAAGGCGAGGTAGGAGACGGGCTCCGTGAATCGTTTAATGGGGACTTCAGTTGTTGTACTATTGAAAATATCTCGCTCGATATCAGGTGTAGACATAAATGCACTATTATCTGAAAGCGAAATTCCCTAGGCAGTTAAACTATTTCCGACGTCTCTTTTTTTCCTAGTGGTTAAAGGTCTTCTCAGGCTGTCTAGTTGGTACCCAGAAAAGGATATATTGTTTAGGAGGTCAAATCAAAATACGTATATCAAATTTCAAAACAAAATGATTTGAGGTGAACAAACAACATGGCGGCTGAGGGGCTGGCAAAGGGAATTGACTATCGTTGGTAAATGAAATGGCTGTTTTCTCACGCTTTATTTATATGCCTTGGTATTAATGCCTTGGGTCTCTACCTTCTGTTTAACTATTTGGTAATGTTCATATAGCCTTTGGCAATTAATTGTTATTGAACTTTTTTTATGTATGATGTCTTCATTTTAGCATAATTCAACAGGATCAGCATCATCAGACAAGACAGGAGGTCAGTATTTACTTAAGGTATCAGCATTTACTTGGGTTATCAAGGGTGAGATGTACTTGTAACAAGCTTTCGTAAGTTAACCTGTAACCAACAAATAAATCAGATTCCAGCCTCAAAGAAAAGCACCAGATTTGGAAAGTAGAAAGTTGCTCAAATATAGAGAGGAATATGATGAATATTTCTTGTAACTTAAGCTGGCACACTTGGTGATTTTTAACACTGATTGCAGCAAATTTGATCCCCCTAAAAAATGACCAATATCTGACATGCTGTAGAGATAGAGATGTTCTCAAGCTTCCATGTTATTACTTCCAGGTAGTTTCATTTTAATTTTTAATTTTTTTTTGGGGGGGGGGATGGTTTGGGAGGGGGGGATTAGCCCCTGAGGAGACTGTAAATGTAGGTTTACATGCAGATAGTTACCAACATTTTAAGACATGTCCACCTTTCAATGTAATGGTCAATTGAATTGCTCATATACAAGAGTTTCACTTTGCAAGATTGGGTCACCTGTGGTTTACTTTACTTAGATGGTACTACAAAGAGAAGGAAGTTGGAGCTTGTCAGTCAGTATTCTTTGTTTGACAACATAGAATGTCTTAAAGCTGTTAGGTTAGCTGGAAAGTCAAGGGACTCACTGCTATTGAGCTTTAAGGACGCCAAGGTATTCTCTTCTTGAAGTTTAAGCAATTAAATATTAAGTTTGTAGTAAATAAAATTAATGACTGTTTTTTTTGTGGGGGTTTACACAAATGAGAAGAATAAGCATTTTGAGTTGATTAACCATTTAACCCCTGTGGGTGACTAAGACAGAATATCTTCTTACTATATCAATACAATATCATGCAGACAAGTCATGAGATTAAAGAAAAATATCAATGACGGGATTACTAATTGATCCAGTACTAAATTCTTCAAACTAACATAATGAGAATCATTTGGCAGACAGTAAGGAGAATTACTAATGAAATCTTGGGAGTTCAAGGATTAACATAGATTCTGTCACTTTTGAATAATGAACAATTCATATCTAAAGAAGAAATGTTCTACAATTTAGAATGTTATTTACATCATGTAGTGGAGCTTAAGTTTATATAAGGGTCAACATTAATTTTGATAATTGATTTGTAATCAGCCACTGAGAATTTAATTAATTTGCAAGAGAAACCTTAATAGGCATGTAACAATAAAGTAATATTTCCAAAAGATTCAATTGTCACTCATTAAATCCTAAGATATTAACAAGACCTGTATTAAATTACATTACTCATGAGGCACTTTAAATGAAATGTATCAGACGAGAAAGATTTTCCATTTTATGTCATTGTTTGTTCCACTTTTACTTCTTTGCCATTGATTTTAGTAGACTGCGGTAAAAAAGAAAAATTTCAGTCAAAGCGCACACATTAGCCTTGATATCTAACATGATGTGCAAATGTTTAAATTTGGATTCTTTGAAGTGTTCCTTGATAAGTGTCATTTTATTATGTGTGCAGTTAGCTGTGGTGGATTATGATCTAGGCACTCATGATCAGAAGACAAAAAGTTTGCATTTTAGGAAATTCTTTTGGGAAATTTAAACATGATGGTTTTCTTTTGTGATCAACTTAATGATACAAATGACATAAAAGGGATTTTGTTAAACTTAAGGCCTGTAATGCACTTTTATGCCCACTAGAAAATATTTTTTATATACATCAGGAGTTAAACTAAGTACATTAGGTAGGAAACAGGTAAAAGTCACCTCATGAAGTTTGTTCTGCCCTTCATTGGTTTCGTGGTGAATATGGAATGGACAATATCTTTCAAGCAGTCCATTCAAAGTTGGTTTGTACAGCAGTAAAATTACACACAGACCTGCCAAGAAGGAAGAACAAATCCAAAATTTTTGTTTGTATAAACTGTACTTACCAAGTTGTTCAAGGACCTGAGTATTTGAAAGTTTTGGGGCCAAAGCCATCTGTGCTCCAAAACTTGAAAACAACTTGGGTCTGTACAACTTTATTCAAGTCATTGTCATTCCTAATATTCCTCCTCTTTAAATGGCAATGTGAATTCACATGATCAATAATGTGATGGATGGTACTTTCCCAATTTTACAGTCATTTTTTATTCCTTGTATCACACTACAGAGTTGTAATCAAGAGTATTTTTGGCCTCCTTTGGTGTGTGGATCCAGATCAACACTGTGCAGTGATGCTTATCTATGGTGCACATATTGTGGTTTTACTGTTTAGACAAGAAGGAGCATTAGAGGAACATGAGCAGGAAGGAACTTTTACAGCAAGGTATGATATATGTGCATAAATGACCTGATTTTTTTAAACAATATATCCAAAAAGCATTACAGAACTTACTCTGAAGATGTGTAGATGGGTGTATAGATCTGCCAAGTATAATTAAATTTGGTCATAGCCAGGTAAGTGATGTGATGATGTCACTGAAAATCAACAACTTTTGGCAACTGAAGAAATAAAAAACAACAACAATGTGCAGTCTGTAAGCATTACATCAACTATTCCAACTTCTGTTTCAATGATGACCCCATTGCAGGGCAAAAAACTAACATTAAAAGTAATAACTTTCAGTTCAGAACAGTCACTCATTTGTTAATTTTACAATCATCTCTTGAGACACAAAGTATGCAGTGGTGAGGTAAACAAATTTAAGTGATGGCCACACTTTTGAGTTTCTTCTTGATTCAGCTTTCACAGTCATTACAGGGTACATGTTTATTGGTTAAATTTGTACCTTCTGAGCAATGGAGATTGTGTATGGCCTAACTTCAGAGTTTTTTTAAGGAGTTTTATTTCAAATTGGCAATTAGGAATTGTTTGTGTTTTGTGGAAACACATTTTAGGGGTTAGGATGTCTGAAATTTCTGTTAGGAAGTAATCTTTGCCATTGAAGGTGGTTTTGTGTTTCATGTACTTCTCTATGGAAACTGATTTCTGTAGATTGAGGAGAATCTACTAAAATTCTGACCTGCAAAATGTTTGTTTTCATCATGTTCTGTTTTAGTAGTAACCTAGCTACTCACCCTTAACATAACAAAGCCTTGTACATGTACCTTTTTTCATACCCTGGTGATCTTTTTGAACAATCAGAATTCTAGATCACCTGAGCAGTGGCTGTTTGTGCACTGCATATGACGATTCTCACCATTTGGGCATGTATGGCCAGGTTACTGAGTTGTTTGAAAAATGACCCCACTGTTGGAAGTCAAATTTTAAGCAAATTTTAGAATTTCAGAGACACATTTTGGATAGTTAAGTTCTTAGAATTTCATAACATGATAAGAAGTAATTTCTATATCATACTTTTTGTTGGTAAAGATACAAATCCTGTAGTTTCTAAAGCATACTTCTCCCATGAGGTGAGGCACATGTCATTATTACCAGAGGTCATGACATAGAGGGTGAATTGCCTATCCAAACTTGCATGTGGAGTGAAACTGATAATGCCATTTTTTTGGCTTAAACAAGCAAAGTTCCTTTATGCATTGTGGAAGCATTTTTGGAGGAATAATCCTTAGCAACACAGACACCAGCCATAGTCTCCATTTTCATTGACATTGATTTTGACATTCACCTTTTAATGAGCAAATATAACAGCATATGTTTTCGAAGGTTTAGATGCCCTGGCCACAACAACTCATTTTAGTTGATACATGTTTTGGCAACCACTCTTGATTATTAGTGACAAAAAGTTAACTTTATTTATTTATTTAATCTGTTGGTATTTCTCCTGCAAGGAACATATGCATACACCAAAGAACAAGTCTTGCCATAATTATGACAAAGAATCCAAGTCAAGGAGTTTTCTCCATCATTTATACTTTTACAGGGTAGATGTAACTTTTTAGGATAAACTTTATTGACAGGCATGAAATTTTTCCAGAAAGAGGTTTGCAGTAATCTCATTTGTTTAGTTTTAGGTTAGCATTTGACTAAATTGTTATTTTTTATTGGGCAGAAGGAGTGTTGGTTTGTGCTACAAACTCTCTGCTGTACCTTAATCAGAGTGCTCCACCATATGGTGTGTCATCAAACAGTATAGCTGAACACAGCACAGACTTTCCTCTAAGTAAATAACAACTTTTTTTGTCCAAGCTTAAATGTTATACACTCAATGTTGATTTTTGTGAGTAATGAATTTGGACAGGCAACATTGTCTTCTTTAAATTAGTCCACTAAGAAATCTAAATTTTAATTAAATTGAGCAAGGCAGGTATTTTTGGTAGAAAAGTGTAAAATGGCAGGATCAGCTGTCATCAAGCTTCTTAGCAGATTATATCGTAGGTGATAGCTTAAATTAACCCTTTCACTCCCAAGATCTCATTAGTAATTCTCCTTACTTTCTGCTGTACAGTTCTTGAAATGTTAGTTTGGAGAATTTGGTATTGGATCGACTTATAATCCCCCTGATTGGTATTTTTCTTTATTCTCGTCACTTTTCTTGTTGATATTGTATTGATATTGTAAGGGGAAGTTCTGTCTTGGTCACTCATGGGAGTTAAATGGTTAAGCCAATGCTGTTTTTCTGATTTGCAATCTATGTATGTTGTCATGGTGAGTGTAGCCAAGAAAGTTATTGTATTTTTCAGAGGTCCAAGAGGGCGTGGTGATCACCCTGGATGGTGCTCAGACATTGTTTATATCATCAGACAAACTGGTCTTTTTACTAAAGGGGGGAGAAACATGAGTTCATCAAATAAGTATTAAATGTAATTCTGAATTGATATTTATGTAGGTTTTGATGGGCTGGTTGAAATGTAAAAATACCACTCTTTTAAAAAGTAATTTAACATGCATTTTCCAACTATGCATATAACCATGATTAATCATGATTATCATCAATGGAGTATTTAATCCTTTTCATCCCTTAAGAGTGACTGGAACATTCTGATAAGTTTTCATTTTTTTTCTTCTTAATTGAAGAAACTACTGTTTTGCATGAATTGCTGGATAAGTTGCAGGAGGGAGATGTTTCTGAAGTCCTTCACAACCATCCTTCCTCTGAGTCCTTCTGGTCAGTGATAAATGCCTCTCACTGGCCAATAACCAAGAAGATAACAGATAAGAATGTGGCACATCTTGTATAAAACCTACTGGAGAGTGAAATAATCTTGTTCAGGAAGTTTGAGATAGACTCATTCACTGAAGGTCTTAAGAGTTTGGAGTTCCTAGATGCCACAAAGAACAACAAGGAAGTCTGCTTTAAGCTGCTTTGTATTTCTACTGAGCAAACCCTCACTCCTGATGAATTTAATAATCTCTTTGATGTCAGTGTACAAAGGCCCTCTGACTTTGCCCAGCTATGTTCCTATGACTGGTTCATGGATTATGTAATGCTGGTGAGGAGAAACTCATATGTCTGCTGCAGTTCATTACTGGCTTTCAATCAATTCCACCATGTGGTCTCCCTCACAACATTGTGTTAAGATGTCTCCCTGATGATGATGAGAAAGCTTCCGAGCTATCAGCAACAGTACACCTGGTAATATTACAGCTCCCAACAATTCATTCCCCTGAGAATGAGTTCAATCAAAGCTTGGATATTGCCTTAAAGTTTGAAAGCCAGGGGTTTTCTACTGTTTAGCACCTTTGTAACTCAAAGCTAAGGAAATACCAGTGAATTGCAGTTTTCTGAAAACACTTTAAGTTGGCTATAGTGATTTGTAGTTGTTCACCTGTTTGTTTTGTTGCATTACGTAGAACTTATCAAGCTGTCTCAAAAAAATAATAATTTCTAGTCCCAGACTGGGGGACTGAAGGCTGGTTTTAATTAGCAATGGAGTTGTAGTTGGAGTTGTATGTAATCAGAATTCTATTTGTGACTCTGTCTCCTATTTGCTACTATTTAGCACCTTTGTAACTCAAAGCTAAGAAAATACCAGTGAATTGCAGTTTTCTGGAAAAACTTTAAGTTGGCTGTATTGATTTGTAGTTGATCTCTTGTTTGTTTTGTTGCATTACATAGAACTTATCAAGCTTTCATAAAGAAATAACAATTGCTAGTCCCAGACTTAGGGACTGAAGGCTGGTTTTCACTTGTGATGGAGTTGTAGTTGGAGTTGTATTTAATCAGAAGCATAGAGAAACATGATCTAATGAAAATCAAACTGACAGAATCAGAAGTAGAACACTAATTCTGCTTGTGACTCTGTCCCTTCTGATCTCATAAAAACTAGAATGTCAGAGTCACCATCAGAAACGGAAGAATAAACCAATCACAATGCTTGATTCCATATGTTTTCAGGAATCCCAAGGGTAGACCCAAATGTCCAATTTCATGGAGTTTTCTTGTGACATTGACTCAGCTTATGACTCTGATGTAAGTGAAAACCAGCCTCAAACAATTTTGCTTAGTTGTGGTTATCAGTGCAGTCAGGGAAAGTTAATTATGAATAAGAAAGTTGATGTTTTTCACAACATTTAAGTCTTCTTGGTAATCTTACTACAAATTACATAACGATTTTGCACTATACTTACAAGTACTATTAATTCACTGATGTGTTATGCAGTGATTAGCAGTTCCTTTCTGTGGAACTATTAAAATGTTGCTTTTAAAACCACAATGTTTGAATTTGCGTGAACAGTCATTAATGTTATACATGTATAGATGTACTTTAAGGACAAAATCAGTAAATGGCATGTTTTAGATTTGGTTTTTCAACTACAAAACATTGTACAAACTTTCCCAAAGTATTTCTTTGTGTTGTGGAAAAAATATGTGAAAAGGATGATGGTTTGTCCTCAGTTACATGTGATACACTTTCTTGTATTTTCAATTAGCATCACAATAACCAAAAGTACTTAGTCATTATATTAGTACCATTTTGGTAACAGACAGGAAAATCACATTGACAGAAAACTCAAATGGTTGTACATGTATACATTAACTAATGCCTGCAAATGTTACACAAGACACTGACTCTCAGCTAGGGGGCCATTCTGTTCCAGGCATACACATAGATCATTTTCTGCAATACTTTTTAATTATGTATTAGGAACTTCCACAGGCATTGTGTCATCCAGGAGTACACTGTTTCCACCCACTAACAATCAGGTTGGGGGCCTTTCCAATCAATGCTATAATGGGGAACATTGTCCACCTGTGGGAGAGAAATTACATGTAGATGGACAGAAACAGTTGATCAGTTAGTCCTCTGTCCAACTGGTCATCTTGTATATAAGGAAACCAAAATCCACTGAGTAAAGTTAACTTCCCTTGGGTGCGGCCTGACTGCCTTACCCTGACCCGTTCCTTTCTATCAATATCTTTTAACCTCCTTTAAGCAGAAAGCGATGATTTTTCCTAAGGGTGTCTGCTTATAGCAGCTTAGACTGTACTTTTGTCGTCATGACCACAATAAATAGGTTTTGTTCTTGTAGTAGGGTGTCTATCCTAAAAATGGAATGTTCCAGCAAAGGTTATCCAAATGAAAAAAAGTGAATTTGTTGAGATAGGGCTTTCTCACAGCATAAGAAGTCATGTAATAAATTAAATATTTCAAACTCACTAGAAATGCTAGAAGAAAAGAGCTATTTTAGAACAAACAGAACTGGACCAATTGGGAATTATTTGATATTAGTCTTGTGCCAACATACATCATAGATAAGAAACAGTACATGTACTTTCAACATACCAATAGTTGTGCTTGCTCTGCAGAGAAAGAAAATCCGTGGAGAACCCATAACCATAACTGAATTGGAGACATGTTTTCCTCTGTGGATAGAGGGTGATGATTCTGCCCTTTTGTAAACTCTTGAAGATGGGCATTTATTCGTGCACCACTACTTTATTTACTTAAGTTCTATGCTTGTAGCATCTGCTGAAAATACATCATTAATCATGTAATTACAGGAAATATTAATCTGCAAATAAAAAGTACTAAAACATCCAAAATAAAACCTTGGATAGCAAGTAACACCTGGTCAAGATGTCATTATTGCTAAATATTTGTAAATCTTTGAGTTTTCTTACATCTGATATTGGTTATGTTGTTTCCCTTACTTATCATGCCACTTTGTAAGCTCTTGGAAATAGCATTCATTCATAAATTTATTAACCGTGATGATCAGTGATGATTCGATTTAGCGCACGAGGCGCTCGTTTACTTTTGTAACCGAAAGGGAGGTTGCTAATTCGAAACAGGGCGCTTATTATTTTTTTTTTTTGAGAGACAGAAGAATGTGATCAAAGCTTCGAATTTTATTCGACTGAGGATCAATGAGACTGTTTAACGGACTTGTTGTTCTGGATCCTTCTGTTATGAAGTATTTAGTTAGTTTATGATTAGACAGTCACTTAGTTAGTCAGTTCAGGATGATTTAATCTTTCGTTTATAATTAGAATGTACCCAAAGGCCCATTTCCAACCTTGATGCAACATCGTCGTTTGTTTTTGTTTTGAACCACCGCTTTTGTATGATTTCGAATTCCGAAGTTATTTAGGTTTGAGCTGTTGTGATGAGTGACAGTGGACGTGCTTAATTTGTCTTCCGACTTTGCTTTGGACTCACACGAAAGTTTTTGTTTTGACTAACGCCGTCAAAGATTGCATCAGTTAATTGGAAGCATTATGATTAAGTGCTTTGTTGTTCCTTTCGAAAGTCTGTGAAATTTTTTGGGTTAGGTATGGTATGGTTTGATGCTACTCTGGTATAAAGATTTAATGAAAGTAACCGAGAAGACGCGTCTCGCCATTCCTGTTTAGCGCCTTCATCAGGGGTGATTTAATCGCAGCAACAAGAGGCCCTTTTCTAAGCTCACTAATTAGCCGCCCTTTTTTCTGACGAGGTGTAAATAGGCGTCAGGTAGTAATCTGCTATTACGATTTAAAGGAGCGTGTTTGGGTAGAGTTGATATGCAAGGCTTCCGAACATAGTCACTGGTAGTAACGTCGATTAGTGCACGCTGATAACTTTAGACTTAGCCCTCCTAATTTTATGGTTAGTTAGGCATGTGTGCCCTGACAAAGCTGGATTTTCTTTTTTCCTGAAAAAGACCACTTTTTGATGCTCTTTCAAACGTGTATCAAACTGACGTTTTGTTTGTCCGATATACTCGTGATCACAGTCATTGCACGGGACAGAATAAACAGCGTCGGTTCGTTGTTCTTTCGTGACAGGATCCTTAGGTTTAGCGAAAATATGCCCTAAAGTCTGAAAAGGTTGTTGAGCAACTTAGACGTTGTGTCTATTCAAAATTCTCTTGATGGGTTCCGTAACACCCTGAATGTAAGGAATAACAGCAAAACCAGTCGCTGGATCCTTCTCATCCTCATCAGGAGTGTCACTAGTTGTAACTGGTTTGCAAAATCGATTTCTGCAAATCATTAGCATATTTCCATTTCGCAAATTGCAGATTTCTAGAAATCTGTAATTTGCGAAATGGAAATATGCTAACGATTTACAAAATCAGCGTGATGAACTTTGTGAAATCTTCACTATGTTCGTGAATAACCAAATGAGAATAAGTCCGCCATAGAGCGCAAAAGTAAATTAAAATGTTAGTTGACGCTGTAACTGAACTGTCTATATGGTGTAATCAATGTTCGTTGTCTATGAATAATTCGAATACGTGACACGACACTTACCTGACCGGAAATGGACATGGAAAGTGTCGCAGCATGTTTCTGGATAAAATATCATGTTTGCTAGGAAAATGTAACGGACCCAAGCTCTTTTATTTTCTTGAGTCTCAGAACAATTATTTTCGCAAATTACAGATTTCTATTTTGCAAATTATTAGCATATATCCATTTCGCAAATTTCAAATTTTCATTTCGTTTCGTTTCGTTTCGCAAATCACAGTAGGCCGAATTTTGGGGTGATCAGAGTCGGAGCGATTAAACAGCGTTTAGCTTCCAGTGGATTCACTCGGTTGGCGTTACTTACAGACTTGTCTAGGAAAGGATCATGTAGAGGGTTAGGCAGATGAACTAAAACCAGGCTAAATTAACCGAGCTCAGCCCAAAAATTCACTCGATGCAAAAGAACAATCACTTGAACGGGGTAAATTTGTCAAATTTTTATTGTCAAAGTATTATTCAAAACACGTCCAGATCTTTCTGAAGTCGAGAGCGCGGCTGTTTATTCCCATGCAACTCCGTATGTTTCACCCATTGCCCAACGGAAACAATTTGCATAATCACAGAGGCTCACCGTGTTAGCTTGGGTTTTCTGTAATTGGACGTCAAAATTTTTAAAGTATATATATATATATATATATATATATATATATATTAACGTTATCTTCTTTAAACCCGAAAACGAAATTTCTTGAAATGTTAAGGTATTTTAAGTTTCTATTTTAATTAATTAATATTTTTTTTAACAAAAAGACTAATGGTTTCGCGGCATGGTGCAGAATTGTCGCAGGTTCTACGGTCTGCTAATCTACAATTTAGTAACACCCAGAAAGAGCGAAATGCCCTCCACTCATATACTTTTCGTTTATAAAATCGAATGTCGTTTGTTTTGTACGTCTAAAGTCACCAGGGAGGAACTGAAGTTTCATGATGTCTTTAGCGCTCTCCGCTATCGTCACGATATTTGTCGTGTAGCTCTTTTATCCTGCCGCCAAGCATCAATCTGGCGCCAAACCTATCAGTTAATTACACTGCCCTCTTAACCCCTCAACAATTGATCGCGTCCAACAAAGTGGATCCGGCGCCGCGTTCTCTATACATGCTTCGAAATTTTTTGTCAACGCGAAGAGCTACAACTAAATAATACGGCGGAAATAATTTTGTATAGTTTGTGTTCTTATTGTTACCAATCTAAGCAAGTGATAGTCAAAATAAACCAGTTTTGCGGACTCATTCCTAAACAGGAAGTGGACAATTCAAAGTTTAGCTTAACGCGGAACCATTCTTGCCTCATCATTATGTTATCCAACCTTATTAAGTCTACAGACTAAGTGTTTCTTCTGGGATCGCGCGGCAAGTTTTTGAGTGGGGGCTATTTTTGGCTCCGGTATTTTTGTTAAATTGTTTTTGTTCAATTTATTTTCATTTTTGCGAAAATGTGGGGGCTAAGCCCCCCCCCCTCTGCGCGGTCCCGTCCTTTCATCACGTCTCCCACTGTGCAAAAAAGAAGTCTTTGACCTGCATAACACCCTGGTGAGTTGGCGTCTATTAAGTAAGAAATACAAGAATACTGCAGAAAATGGTGATACTTGGTAGCTTAGAAATTAGCAGGCTTAAAGTTGCAAAGTAATCAACATAAGCACTCTGGGTTTGACAGCAGAAGTTAAGTCAAGTCTACTGGGCTTCCGCGCTGAATTTTCATAGGAAAGAAGATCGAAGGTGTATGGAAATGAGCACAGAGGGACGGGTGGAAGAAGAGGTCAAGCGCATCTTTTGAAACAATACATATCTGTATCCGGCTGAACTAGTCTGATATCTGTTTCTTATGTAAACAAGTAAACGTTGCATAAGTCATCGCCTTTTTGACAGTTGAAAGTTTTCAAAGAGCCAATCAAATAAAAGTTCTGTATCTCTTTAAATACAGTATGATCGAATTAAAAGTTCAATTGAACCAGAGGAAATCAGTACTCAAACGAAGATAACGGAATCACCAAAAATGTCAATGGAAAAGCTATTAGAGTTTCTGGAGCCAAAAACTTTCAGCAAAATTCCCTTTGGGGTAGTGGTTATTTGGAGCGTGATTGGTGTCATCTTCCTTGGTATATTCGCCGACATGGAATACAACGAACCCAGGTATGATTTCAACTGTGGCGGAGCGAAAAGTGAAAACATCAAAGCCGTCCAGGGAAAATGTTACGAGAAATACGCGGAGCAACAAAACAAACTCGGTGTTCCTGTTTATGGCTTCGTAATCACGAATTTCTTCCTTATTATATCTGCATGTGTTATCTACTCCCTAATAGTAAGACCAACAGTCAATCGACTGTCGCCAAGCAGTCGTAACGGTGATCCAGAGAGACAGCCGTGCGACCAAGGGAACCCATTATCGACGGGATACAAGCTTTTTATCGCTTACTGCTGTCAACTATTCACTAGACTTGTTTTAGGAGTTCTTTCCATCATTCTACAAACTCAGTTACTTTATCCTTTAAAGTTTTCCTCCAAGTTTGACTGTAATTTAACCGATGGAACCACTCAGCCAAGGAATTCAACTGACAACGCCCAACACTCGCCTTTATACGATTGTCACAATCAACGAGCGGCAAAGAAAACCTACTGGATGTACGCTGTCCTTGGTGTGAATGGAATTCTTGTCGTTACCATTCTGGTTGAAATCGTTTACCTTTTTTCACGGGCATGCATTGAAAGGAGTTTCATGCAAGACTCAATGTTTATTAAAACCCACTTCGGTCTCAACCAACACCTAGATGGAAGGGAAACAGACACTGAAGAACTCCAAGAACGAAAGTTTCACGCATTCATCAAACGCAAAAAGGAAATTATTATTGAGGAGACCGAAAGACTTTTAGAACTACAATCGCCTTTTTCAGGTAATCCAGGCGAAAACACAACAGTTAAACATTTGACTTTGGATCAAATTTACACAAATCTTGTTGTGATTCCGAACAGAGCTACGTATGACTTTACTGAAAACAGAGAGGAACAGCTCAAAATTTATCCAAGGTCGCGCGGGGAAAAATCACAACCGAAAAGCATGGAAGACCTCCTAAATGTTGAAAATAAGAAAGTGTTAATCGTCGGTCGAGCCGGAATCGGCAAGACAATATGTTGTACCAAACTTGTCAGAGACTGGGCATTGAATAAAGTTTTTCAAGCGACAGCTGGAGGCAAAATCCATTTTGATGCCGCTTTCCTCGTGAAATTCAGAAGATTCAAATCGGAAAACAACCTTGGCCTCAAGGAACTGTTAATTCAGTCCGAGTATTTCCCAAAAGATCATCTAGATGACGAGGTCTGGAATCACCTGCTTGAAAACCCTAAAGGTGTACTCATACTTTTTGACGGATTCGACGAATTTAAACATAACGCAAACGTGGTCGGGGCGCCTCTTTATCCCAGAAGCAATGAAGAGAAACAGCCGCTCCAAATCCTTTATCAGTGGCTTGTGACCGGGAAACTCCTAAAGGATGCCTCAATTGTGACCACCACGAGACCTACGGCTTTGTCGAGCATCAAACACCTTCCGTTTCACAAAATTTACGAGGTTCTAGGATTCTCATCGGAACAAGTTGAAGAATATGTCTACAAATTGGCCGGAGATGAGGAGGCAGTGGGCGAAACACTATGGCGACACATCAGTAGCAACTTGAATTTGCTCTCGCTGTGTTATGTCCCGGTCAACAGCTTTATCATCTGCACAAGTCTGTTAGAAATCATGCGAAAACAAGAGTCCGAAAGTTTCGCTGACGTTACCCTCCCTTCCAAATTAACATTGATATACAATATTGCAGTGAAAGTGTTTTATTTTAAACATACAATAGAATTGTGCAATATTTTGTTTCCTCTCGAACATGATTTGCCCGAAGATGAACTGGAGAATTTCAAGATACTAGGAAAAGTAGCCTTTAACGGAATCAAAGAAGGAAAACTGATCCTTGGAGGAAACGAGATAAAAGGAATGGGAAACAGCGCTCTTTTTCATCGCTTACCCGACCGTAAAACTGACACGCTTAATCTTGAACCACAATTCTGTTTCATTCATCTGACAATGCAAGAGTTTTTCGCCGCGAGACACCTGGCAAATATGAGTGAAACAGAATTAAAAAACTTTGTTTCCGAGAACATCAAGGACGGCAGATGGCAGCTGGTTTTTCAGTTTCTAGCAGGATTAATGGAGAATAAAACTGACCTACCAAGCGAAATTATCACGGACCTTCTTCCTGTGAAAACTGAAGAAGACGAAAGCGCAGACTACAACGAACAGTGGACAGAGAATGAAGAGCAAAGGAAAGTAACCTGCTGGCCGACTGAAGACGAACGAGAATTAGCAGTAACATTAATTAAATGTTTAAACGAAAATAGCAGAATGAAGTCAGAAGCACAGAGAAAACTTCAACAAATGAACTTTAACTGCGTAAATTTTAATTTTTGTGACCTCACAGCTGTTGATTGCTCTTCGTTAGTAAATGTAATTAATGTTCAACAAATTTCACATTTAGATTTAAGTCACAATAACATTGGTCCATTAGGTTGTTTTGAGATTTGTAGATTGTTAAAATGTAGGGAATCTCAACTGAGCTGGTTAAACCTCATGAGAAATCAATTGACAGATGAAGCAGCAAAGTATTTAGCTGAAGCCATCAACAACAACAACTGTCAGCTACGCACGTTAAACCTCACAGCAAATAACATCTCACACATTGGAGCACAGCACTTGGCTGAAGCCATCAACAACAACAACTGTCAGCTACACACGTTAAACCTCTCACACAATAACATCTCACACATTGGAGCACAGCACTTGGCTGAAGCCATCAACAGCAACAACTGTCAGCTACACACGTTAGACCTCTCAGAAAATAACATCTCATACATTGGAGCACAGCACTTGGCTGAAGCCATCAACAACAACAACTGTCAGCTACGCACGTTAAACCTCTCAGAAAATAACATCTCATACATTGGAGCACAGCACTTGGCTGACGCCATCAACAACAACAACTGTCAGCTACGCACGTTAAACCTCTCAGAAAATAACATCTCATACATTGGAGCACAGCACTTGGCTGAAGCCATCAACAGCAACAACTGTCAGCTACACACGTTAGACCTCTCACACAATAACATCTCAAACATTGGAGCACAGCACTTGGCTGACGCCATCAACAACAACAACTGTCAGCTACACACGTTAAACCTCACATACAATAACATCTCATACATTGGAGCACAGCACTTGGCTGAAGCCATCAACAACAACAACTGTCAGCTACACACGTTAGACCTCACAGACAATGACATCTCAAACATTGGAGCACAGCACTTGGCTGACGCCATCAACAACAACAACTGTCAGCTACACACGTTAAACCTCACAGCAAATAACATCTCATACATTGGAGCACAGCACTTGGCTGAAGCCATCAACAGCAACAACTGTCAGCTACACACGTTAAACCTCTCACACAATTACATCTCACACATTGGAGCACAGCACTTGGCTGAAGCCATCAACGACAACAACTGTCAGCTACACACGTTAGACCTCACATACAATATCATCTCAGACATTGGAGCACAGCACTTGGCTGAAGCCATCAACAACAACAACTGTCAGCTACACACCTTAGACCTCACATTCAATAACATCTCAGACATTGGAGCACAGCACTTGGCTGAAGCCATCAACAACAACAACTGTCAGCTACACACGTTAAAACTCTCATTCAATATAAACATCACAGAAGCAGGTAAGCAAAAGGCACGTAATTTACTAAGCAATAGTCAGTCTAAGTGTAAGCTAATTCTTTAGGCCTCAGCAATTCTAATTAAAAACTGAAAAGAAATTATTTGAACCACTTACTATTCAAAATAGCAGTGAGGTAACCAGCTCTGTGACAGTATCAACCCTATGACTCAAAACTTGAATAAAAGCAAAGCAAATCTGTAAAGTGCTCAGAGCAGTGAGATTATTTGAACCGGATCGAAATGAAGAAAAATGAACCAATGAACATGTTTATTGAGAACAAAGGATGTCAAACTTTTTTTATAAACGAACCAATAACATTGAAGTAAAAAACACAAAGCTTCCTGCAGAGAAAACAAATAAGCCTCGGACCTCTCAGGAAACTTTTTCATTTTGTGATTGGTCAGTTTCGATCCTAAATTCTCTCCATGCTCTTGTAAGTTTTGTTCGCTGGAAGTGTTTTGGGAGATTTTAAAGGCATCGGATGAATGTAAACACCACAGATTGCTTACCAAGTTTTTTTTATTTCTTGTGTTTTCTGCATTGTTTTCCGATTGAAGCGAACCGGTTCAAGTAGTTTCACACTTCCAACAAAATATCGAAAAAAGAATTGTAACCAAATTGTAAATCAAATCATCACGCTTTCAAAGAGAGAAGGCCTTTTTGTAGGTTATAGCTGTAAGATTTATATCACATTCAAATAATTTTTTCCGGAAGGTTTCAGCTTTTTTTGTAAATGTTAATGTAATGTTTGTACCTATTCGTTGGCTGTTACTTGTCAGAGTTGCAGTTCAAAATACAAAGATGAAGTATCAGACTTGAACAGTAAAGATTTTAACTTACTAGTCATTGTTAATGGAGCCAGACCTCCCTAATTTGTCATTGAAGAATAAATTTTGTAGAATGATTTCAACTTTGTGTTGTGATATATCTAGCCTCAATTGTTAGACACAACTTGGAAGCTAATTGGGGAGGGGAGTCATCTTTTCAATATCAGTCAAAAGCTATCAATCTACCAGAGAGACTGCCTCTAGGGGAGGGTATAAACAGCCCTTAGAAGAAACCCCTAGTCTATCTCAAATTAAATGATTTTCTCTTCCTTCTTTTAACACTGAAAAAAAAATAATTTAACACCATGTCGTGAACCAACATCAAAATATCTAAGGAAGTGTGCAATGCAAGTGACATGAAATTGATGTAAAATATTTCCTTGAATTGGTTCCTGGCTACTTAAAGGGCACCTATTAACCTTTTTTAAAGCAAGATGTATGAAATCACTGGACCTCAGACAAAAATTAAATAATGGAAAGAAATTAGAGAAATGAAATATATCCCACATGTAAAAAGAATGGGAAGAGGAAACAAGGAAACCTCTAAAAGATTTTCACTTGTTGCAGCTAAGAAAAAAAATAACACTTGAGACTTTTTCTCATTTTTTTTTTCAACACTTTCATTCCCAGTTTTTATGATTTTTGCAGGACTTATCCCTTACTCTCCCATATGTGACCAAGACAGAATTTCTCCTTACAATATCAATGCAATATCAAGCAGACAAGTGATGAGAATAAAGAAAAATATTACTTAGCTTATTAATTGATTCAATACCAAATTCTCAAAACTAACATCACAAGAACTATATGGCAAACAGTAAGGAGAATTACTAATGAGATCTTGAGAGTGAAAATCTCATGAACAGAGACACCTATGCAGGGCAGGGCTTCTTCCAGTTTCCACTCAGTTCCACAGAAAACCTTATTTCAACCTGTTTGGAGAAATATCTCCATTTGTTTAGAAATGCCAGGTGATGCCAAAAATGTTCATTTTGTTGTGGACAAATTTTCTGAGCCTTTGCATATGCAAATTTTCTTCTAAGAATCAACAACCCAACAATATAATGTCATGCAAAAGGAAAGAAAAATTCAGTGGATGTTTTAATAGAGGTTCATCTGGAATTTAAAGTACTATCAATCATAAGTTTGAAAAGAAGAAAAGTTAACTCTGAGTCCATAAAGCTACACATAATTAGAGCATAATGTCCATAAAATGATAAATAATGATGGGAAATTATCCCTAAAGTAACTTCTCAGAAAGTTAAAAATTATACCAAAATACACTTACAACTGAAAAGTATACTTGTGCAATGAGATCACTACTTTCCAGAATTTCCTTTGGAACAACAACTAGAAGCTGCAGATTTTTTTCCTCCCTTGTCATTGTCCTGACTAACAGTGGTCCGTTTGCACTTGAATTTAAAAGAACCATGCATTTCTTTGATTTTATAACTGGTAGTGGTGCTTGTCACAACAGCCTCTTTAGCAGTAACATAATAGCCACAATTGTGGCTACATTTTCTGCTGATAAGTTTTCTGGTGATGAGTCAAACTCCAAAAACTGCTGCTCCAGTTGCTGGACAGCTTATTGGACTTCATTTCTTTCCTAAATAGTAAAGAGAACACTATCAGTGTTGCATAGTGGTGATTGATGAAGAAAAAGCATACAGTCAAACCTGTATTAAGCAGTCACCCATAGGGAATTGCAAGGACACTACTGAAACAGTTTCCACAGAATAGCAGTCAAATGCTGTAAAAAAATGCTATTTTATGCCATAATTGATCACTTCACTTAAAGTTTACTCAAAAGCTTGCTAAAAGATGCATTGACTCTTTGTTAATACCAATAAACAGAATCAACAAAATGGTGACATAGCATATAAACAGAACACTAAAGCAGAATTACTGTCTACTATTTTCTATCAGTTGGACCTCTAGGTCATATCTATGGGCTGATTGACTTGTGTAATGTTTGTGCATAATATTTGTCCCAATAGCTCTAAGAAGAGTTAGATAATTGGCAACATGTTGAGCACATTTAAACTCAAAGTACTATTCCTAGTTTTATTGGAGAGATTCTGCTTTAGTGACTGTTCAACAGGAAGCTGGGACTCAGTCAAGGATGACCATGACCACCTAAAGAGGTAAAAATTACAGTACAGTAATTAAGGGGAGAAAATCTGACAACTGACCCCTTTGTTATAGGGTGACTGTTTAATATGGTTTCACAATACAGTTTGTGCTTAACTATGTTTTCTTTTGTAGCACTAATTACTTTAATTAAGAGGAACATTTGAGAAAACATTAGAGGGAATGCATCTTCTTTAATGACCAGTACTTCCAGATGCTTTTTAAAGTTAGGACAGACAGTATTTACCTGTCAGTCCCAGTCCACCATAAACAACCTTGCTTGATTTTGTATATACAAGTTTACACCTTTATTCCAGTAAAATGTGTCATACTTAACAAAGAGCATGATACACATTAAATTAGACTGATTCAAGTAAGAAAGGTTCTGAGGTGAATTAGGCAGTACAACTTCTTAGAATGGACATTACTTCTTAAGTTAACTTGCTACCTAGTCAATGGTTGCATACACAGTCATATACCTGGATGCATTTTTGTTCCATCTCTTCAATGTGTTTTATTCTCTGTTCTTCATCCCAAACACTCTTAAGTATACCATCCCTGATAGCTTGTGGAACTACGGGTGGCTAAGACCAACCAGCTCACACTTGGTGATGTCATCAGCTCTTTCTTGTGTCAGAAGAAATTGATACAGCTTGTAGTGTTAAAATAATGCCATGAAAACAAAATCTTTCATAGACTTGAGGTTTTTTTCCACAGGAGTGATGGGCAATTCTGTTTAGCTGTTGTTTAAACAATGTTATAGCCTCCTTGAGGGGTTTGCCTAATCAAAACAAAATAGTTATTGGTGAAGTTTACACCCAAGGCAGTGGAGACAGCATTGATTACAACATTACAATTGTCTCTTTTGTTTTTCATCCTCTGGAAAATATATTTCCTCTATTTTAATTGTATTAAATTCAACTTTTTGATTTTGATTTTGTGCTTAACACTTGGTTGGTGAACATCATTCTAAAGATAGAACAGACATATTCAAGTTTGGAAATTTTTTTCCTTTTGGAATATTGAAATGTTATTTTATTCTTCCAGCCCTCATCCTATTATTTCCTTTTATATTGAACCTCCCTACCCACTTTACAGTACCATTAATATATAACTGGCATGAATTGAAGAATCCCTTGTAAATGACCATACTGACTGGGAACATAAACGAAACAAAAGCAATAAATGCTGTAGTATGCTAAATGTGTTGAGTTGACTCTCCAGTCTCATGCATTGGGTGTGAGACTTACGCAAACAAATTCATTCTTACACTCTCATGCTAAAGCCATTATTTCTCTCTCCTTAAAGGTTTTGCATTTATTCTGTTGATTTTGAGATAGCAAACTGCTGCTTTCATTAAGAACCTATAAAATTATCCTTCCAAATATAATTTACTCCTTGTTCCCTATGCACTCATTTTGCACACTTCTTAACAGCAAAAATTCTCTCTCAGATTTAAAGAAATGCACAACTTAGCTATTTTATTTTTTTACAATTTTCCAGGGGAACATGCCCCCATACCCTCTTCCCTTTTCCACCCTTGATAGGTGATGCCCATGAAATCTTACTCTTTGCCAGCATGGACTTGAGAGCTCTAGTTGACTTAAACTGCATTGCTACACAAGTCATAAGATTTCACTCTCTAGAAAAGTATACAGGATGGTTTATAACTAATCAGTAGCTTAAGCATTAAGTCTTGGAATAAAAAGGGAGATTTTTGTCCAATATTGCTCCAAATAAAATGCATAGATGACTCAACAAAGACTTAATTTAGGTCCGCAGAAAAATTTAAAACATGGACCACCTTCAAGTCCAAATCTATCGATTAAATCTCCAAATTTGCAAACTCAGATCTTACACAAGCAAAATAGTAAGCGTTTGAACAAGATCTCATGTCATACAAGAACTTTGCATTCTGCCTTCAACATTCAACTACATAATTTTTTCAGCTATAAGATTTTGGTGACATAGTTCTTGCATAGGACCAAATCGTTTGTTCTGAATACAACAAATTCTAAATTTTGTAGGATATATTTTGTACATGTCAATGACACAAGACAGTGAATGAGTTTAGACAGTGTGGGATAATTGTACAGAAAGTCAATC